GTTTTGCATCATCTGCAAGCATTGATATGTAGGAGACAATTTCCTCTGTCAGGTCATTGACTTGTATTAGTAACAGGATGGGCTCGAGAACCGACCCTTGTGGTACCCCAGTCGTAACCGCTCTCCACTCCAATGCTCTGCTTTCAAGAACAAATCCACAAGGGCCGTGACGAGGATTCGAACCTGCGTCCGGGAGCATGCTCTCACTGTGACCCTTTGCTTCCTTTCTGAGAGATACTCTCTGGCCCTCCTTTGGACTCTTCCAGAGCTGCCAGCCTGCGTTTCTAGCTTGAGTAGGAGTCTTTCGTGCGGGACCGTACGAGATGCCTGTTGACAGTCAAGGAATACGTAGCCTGACCATCCGTCCCTCTCTTGTTTGATTTGTCATTTTTTTGTCTCGCTGAAACCCTCCATCTGTTTCTTGGTCATCCTTCAACATCAATATCGCCTGATTACACCTTTAGGGAGACTTCCCACTCTGCCTCTCTATTTGCGCCATCATGTCTTCTCTCTCGTTTTGAACCAAAATTCTTGTTTTTTTCATTGCCTTCCCCCAGGGGTGAGTCTAATTACCCAAAGCTACCCAAAGCTTCCTAGCATTACGTACGTAGTGAAGAAAAATTATATATTTACTCACTATATAATGTTGGTGCTGAATGTACAACATGAAAAACATATTTTTACTCTGAAATGATATAATTTTATAACCCTGAGGTTTCTTGCTCTTTCCTTCCCATCATATTGCGTCTTTCCACGCTATGCTCTCTAGCCCGCCAAACACACACACCGAAACTACGACGTTGGTACAACGTTCGAACAAGCTTTAACACCTCCCTAACCAGTTATAACAACCAATATAGCAAGTTGTAACAACGTTCTAATACGTCATAAACACGTTAATCCAAGATGTAACAACTTTATTGCAGGTTTACAAGCGGAAAATAGAGACAGTTTCGGTTTGTGTTTCCAGGGCTGTCCCTTGCTATGGTTTAATGTCAATTCAGAGATACATATTCTATGTAGGTATATATATATATATATATATATATATATATATATATATATATATATATATATATATAGGAATAAAGTAAAGTTGCAGTTGTAAGGAGTCATGGTTTGGGGAGGCAGAGATTGGAGTAGAGTTATTGGGATACAGTAGTGGTTGGTGGCGGGGAAGTGGGGTAGACAGCGTTGTGGGTGAGAAAGGATTCGGGGGGGGGGGGGGGGGATGGAGGACAGTGAGAGGGAGGGAGAGAGAGTGATGGGGTCAGGTAAGGGTTGAGGCAGTTTGGAATGAGCGAGCTAGGTCGTGACCTAGTGCGGAGGGGGGGGGGGGGGAGGAGGGTGTACAACAAGAGTTGTCAATGAGAGTGGATGGGGGGAGGTAAGGTGTTGATCTCCCTTGGGACCTCTCTGTCTTAGGCTTAAAGCAGGTGATATCACTAACGCTATATCAAATTACTAATATTAGCGTGTAAGGAGTCATTACATTTCTCTCGACAAACAGAATTAACACCAACCTGTACTCTTGCAAATTACGGCTGAATTGACCGTTTACCGTCACTCGGATTTGTCACTTTTCACACGGATTGCATATTAACCCTGGACAGTGTCTCCATACTTGTCGAACCATTCCTTCAGTTTGTCTAGGTCATCTTGAAGCCTCATGCTGTCCTCCTGTCTTAATCCCTCTCGGAATTTTGGCAGCATCAGCAAACATTGAGAGGAACGAGTATATACCCTCTGGAAGATCATTTACGTACAGTATATATTAAACAGGATAGGTCCGAGTACAGAACCCTGTGGGAGGCTGTTAGTGACAGCACGCCACTTACTCACCTGTGTGTGTGTGTGTGTGGGGGTGGGGGGGGGGGGGTAGTGTACATGACTGTCCGTCTATCTGTCCGTCAGTTGGCAGGTTGTGAGGAAGTGTCCGGGTGAAAGTAGTGGATGACGCAGACATTGTCACAGCACGCAACGTCTGTAATCTACACACGTGGCGTGCACGCCCTCCCCCCACCCCACATGTACTCACCTACCTGCATGTGCGTTGATGGTTCAGCGTTGGCACCCTGGCCCCGCCTTCCCACCCTATGTTCAGTTGATGCAATGACTTAATTGGCGCGTTCAGTGCTTAATGAGCGCGACAATCTATTACGTGTGTGTGTACTCGGAACACATTCACTAAAAAAGGTGATTCTAGGCTTCCACACGTCTTTCTCTTAACACTGCCCATTATGTTTTGTGGCATATCTCGTCGCATCATACTTCTCACCAGTCATCTTTCTATCAGTGCTTCTTTACGTGGGAACACCAAGCCGGGGTTACATATTGATATGCTAGTTTTGTTTACATTGTACTCAATGTTCTGATGACCTTTTTTAACAAGTGAAGATTACCTGAAGGGTAGTCGGACCCTTGCCAGTCCCGCTTATGCTGCTGGTGTTATTTTGTAAATGTCCCCATAAAGCGCCAGGTTTCTAGTAACACATACTCCCACGCCTTTTTATGTTTGTGAGTGCTCTCTCATATAACCTGCATGTTAAATGTCTCCCCTCTCCCTCCCTCCCTGGCTTCCCTTCACCCTCCCTCCCTGGCTTCCCCTCTCTCTCCCTCCCTGGCTTCCCCTCTCCCTCCCTCCCTGGCTTCCCCTCACCCTCCCTCCCTGGCTTCCCCTCTCTCTCCCTCCTTGGCTTCCCCTCTCCCTCCCTCCTTGGCTTCCCTTCTCCCTCCCTCCCTCCTCTTCCCCGCTCTCTCCCCCCCTCCTTGGCTTCCCCACCCTCCCTCCCCCCCCTTCCCTTCCCCCCCTCCCTCCTTGGCTTCCCCCCCTCCCTCCCTCCTTGGCTTCCCTTCACCCTCCCTCCCTCCTTGGCTTCCCTTCACCCTCCCCCCCTCCTCTCTTCCCCCACCCTCCCTCCCCCCCTCCTTGGCTTCCCCCCCCTCTCTCCCTCCCCCATTCCTTCCCCCCCATCCCTCCCTCCTTGGCTTCCCCCCCACCCTCCCTCCCTCCCATCTCTTCCCTTCCCTCTCACCCCCCCTCCCTTCCCCCCCTCTCTTCCCCCCCTCCCTCCTTCCCCCCCCTCTCTCTCCCCCCCTCTCTTCCCCCCCTCTCCCCCCCCTGGCTTCCCCCTCTCTCCCCCCCCCTGGCTTCCCCCCTCTCTCCCCCCCTCTCTTCCCCCCCCTCTCTCCCTCCCTGGCTTCCCCTCTCTCTCCCCCCCTCTCTTCCCCCCCCTCTCTCCCCCCCTCTCTTCCCCTCTCCCCCCCTCCCTGGCTTCCCCCCCCTCCCCCCCCTCCCTGGCTTCCCCTCTCCCCCCCTCCCTGGCTTCCCCTCTCCCGCCCCCCCTGGCTTCCCCCCTCTCTTCCCCCCCTCTCTTCCCCCCCTCTCTTCCCCCCCTCTCTTCCCCCCTCTCTTCCCCTCCTCTCTTCCCCTCCTCTCTTCTCTCTTCCCCTCCTCTCTTCCTCCCCCTTTCTTCCCCCCTCCTTCCTCTCTCTCCTCTCTCACTCTCTTTTTTTTTTCTTTCCTTCCTTCCTTCCTTCCTTCCTTCCTTCCTTCCTTCCTTCCTTCCTTCCTTCCTTCCTTCCTTCCTTCCTTCCTTCCTTTCTTTCTTCCTTTCCTCCTCCTCCTCCAATCCCCCTCTCCCTTCGTATTTATTAGTCTCTGTATTCAATAATAAACGATCAAATTGCATTATGCAGTGTATTGAAGATAAAACCGAGATGATAGGCCGGAGGTTGACCTGTGTTTCGTCATTCTCTTAAGACATTCCCGGTGGAACAAAAAATAAAGAAGCGGTTGTGTGAGCCAAAATTTACATAGAAGTCTAGTGATGAGTGCTGTGGCAGTGCTTGCATCACAATGGGTCAGATTGATGATAAAGCTTTAGCGTCATTCTTGTTTCTGATGCAAATCATGTGAAATGGAGTGTGATGCTCGTGGTGGTTCTTTTTCTGATCACTACCTATACATTGACACGGTAGATAGCGACAAACTATTTAGCACGGGCAGTATACGAACAAGGTGACACAGGTGGAAACTTAGTACCCGAATGAACCACAAGGATGTTAGAATTTTTTTCAGTATCAGCATAGTTAATAAATGGAAAGCATTAGGCAGTGATGTGCCGGAGGCTGACTCCATACACAGTATCAGATGTAGATATGACAGAGCCCAATAGGCTCGGAAACCTATTACACCAGGAACTATACACCAGTTAATTGACAGTTGAAAGGTGGGACACTCAAACCCCCTCAAACCTCAGAGCTGCAGCTCAATGCCAGCAAGCACAACTTGGTGAGTATATGTACACACCTACCTACCTATCCTACCTACCTAACACACACATTTAGGTGTGTGTGTGTGTGTGTGTCAAGTTTGATGTCAGAAGTGTGCGCGTGCTCCATTACAAAGCTGGTGTGTGGAGCCAGACAGGGACACCGAGTGAGGGTGAGGAAAGGTCATGTGTATAAATGCAGCAGGAAAATGTTAGTTGTAACCTGCACAGACTGCTACTTTCTGGGAGCAGTCTCCTGCTCCAGCCTTCACTCTGGGCTAGGATAAGGTGATAGGGTTTCTATAGGCGAGGGCTAGAAGCCTGCTAGGCATATATTGGTCCCGAAGGACGAGACTGTCCATGCTGTCACCCAACCATTTACTAGCCAAACCCAAGTACAGCAGCTTAGAAGTTGTGTAGTAAATGGGGAATGTTGTCACTTGGCAGCTAGAAAGACATATGCATTTTATAAACGTGAAAAATACTGTACAGTACTGTATATGTATATACAGTACAAATGCAAAATACAGTACAGTATATGTATTTTTACAAGTTTTCATGTGCTTGCATTCACTTGCACATACAGCACTTGTGTTAATGTAAGTAAATGTCGGATAAATGCAAGTAAAACTTTTCAATTTTTTTTAATTATTATTTACTGTGCTAACATTTGCAAAACAAATAATGACCATGGAACAATCCTAAACTGTCGATTGTTTTCCTCAGGAACGGAAATGGAACAAGAACGAGCGTTTGAGATTTCGAGAGGAGGCGGAGATGCTGAAGGGTCTGCAGCATCCCAACATTGTGAGGTTCTACGACTACTGGGAGGTGCACAATGCCAAGCGGCGCTGTATCGTCCTGGTCACCGAGTTGATGACATCTGGCACTCTCAAGCAGTGAGTGTTTCAGTGGTGTTCCTCCTTGCCCCACCACCTGCCATTTTGTTCACCTTTGATGTTTCCACGAATAATAGCGGCTTTACCTGTATTTTCTATCATATCCACATTTACTTATTGTGTTGTATGTTCAAAATGTATGTTGTCATCTAATTCAGTACTGTATAAGGAAACAAGTTATGGTTTCTCCATTACCTTAGTTTGGCTTCTTTTACAAGAATATGAACACCACTGAATATGTTCAAAACAAACTTGCACAGAAGAACATGCATGCATGGCATAAGTGTGCATGCACATTACACAAGGCTTAATTCCATAGACATGCAAACTATGACATCAGCAAAATATGTTAAACTGCCAAATGTATGAATGACAATTAAAAGTATTAACTGGGATTTATTCAGAACATTAGGCTGATACACTGTGTTAGGCTAGTTCTAAAACATACAGCAACAGCATTGAACTAACAATATCTAAAGCACAAGATGATTGAGAATGTCTAGAAACTCAGTCTAATGACTCTTAGGTAATTACTAACTTAGCAATGCAGCATCCACAACAGAAAAACTAGTAGAGAGAAAGATCAGGGTAGGTATGATCAACATAAAAAATAAAATGAGCAGGATAGGCCAAGTGTACTAAGACTTTCAGATGACAAACAGAGCGAAGAGACACAGGTCAAGTCAAATGAGTCGAGAGAGATTTATGAAAACAGGAATATGTAGTAATGTGGTAAGCAGGTGAAATAGAGGTCATGGAAACCATCGCCATTAACAGCTTTTAAATTGTATGCTCTAGAAAGAAGATGACAAAGGTTACAAATAATATGCAAGTGGAAAATACTGGGAGTCCAGGTCCCTAGTTTGCACAGTAAAATAACATGATGTTAGAGTGAATGATATGGTAGGAAATGCAGAATAAAGCCTGTGAAGAGTTGAAGTGCCATAGGCACAGAGAACACTGTATGAATATAAGACGGCAAGTAAACAATAATATACTTCTCCCAGCAAGTATAAGAAATATTGCCAGAACAAAATTGGAAGTTTAAAAAAAAAAGCTGGATAGTTTTCTGTAAGAAGTGGTAGACCAACCGGGCTGTAGTGAATATGTGGGCCTGTGGCTGTCCATTTTGTATATTTTACTCTCCATGTATATTTATATACATATACTGTATAAGCACTCCCTACATATAGGGAGAGCTTGAAGGATGGGTGTTAGGATAGAAAACAGAATACAGTACTGTATATGAGATTAAACTGGTGTTCAATGATGGATTGAGTTTGTTTAGGTCATTTTCCATAATTTTAATCAAGTTTGAGCTACTTTTCATTAGTGTCATTTCTCTTTAATTGCCTAAAAAATTATCTTACGAGCATTGTATCTTACCATAACTGTGGTCATGGTAACTTGTAATTATTTCAAACAGGAAGCCTTGTACTGTGTCTCATTCTCTAGTATGAATACAAGTAAATATATTACTATATAAAAATTTGGAAATAAATATGATTATTGGTCACCATGATGTACTTGGGCAGATAAGCTCTATATATTTGTAAATGACATTACTGTACTGTGGTACTTTACTGTTTTATATACTGCAGGACTGTCTTTAAGAGTAGATACTGTATCAGAACATGCACATGTTTCATATAAAAGTTGTTGTGGGTTTAATAATTATGTAAACCATGTTTACTAGTCATAACCATGTTGGTTCAGAATGTTTACCATATAATGCGTACAGTGTATTATAATGTGTGTGTCTTGCTCTTCAGATATCTGCGTCGTTTACGGAAAGTGAACCTAAAAGTGTTGAAAAGCTGGTGCCGGCAAATTCTGAAAGGGTTGCAGTTTCTTCACTCGCGCGCTCCTCCCATCATACATCGAGATCTCAAGTGTGACAATATCTTTGTCACTGGAACAACTGGTTCTGTTAAAATTGGTGATCTAGGACTTGCTACACTTAAAAATAGATCTTGTGCTAAATCTGTAATTGGTGAGTTTTACTAAAATGTTTTACCTTTTTATTTTACTTTATAATCTTGTTTTGTGAATGTTTAAATGGGTTTGATGCTTATAAGACAAGTTACTTAAGTCTAATTTTCTTTTGGTGGATCTTGTAATAAACCAAGAATACTACTGCTTTCAGTAAAAAAGTCTTCACTTCATTCCTTAACCAGCGGACATTGTAACCATAGGGTAATGCAGTTATCATATGAAAATTTAAACAATTATTGTATGGATTTTACATGTATGATGTAAATATGGATATAATAAGTCTATGTAGATGATTTACGTTGATCCATGAAAAAATTCCTGCTACTGTGCCATTTCATGCTACAGTATGAATACAGTTTTCGTTACGAATGTTGCTAGGGGAATGCAGTCATCGTCATGTGACAATTTAAGCAATTATTGTCTGGGTTTTACATGTTTGAGGCAAATATGGATATAATATCTCTGTGGATATAAACAAAGAAAGTGATAAAACAATCAGTGAAACGAGAATAAAACGGGAAACATCAGCAAAATCGAGCACTAGGCGTTGACAAATGCCACATGCAGCCTCCACCCCTAGTGCCTCCACTCCAGTCACAAAACCCATTTTTCTAAAAACTGATTGAAAACAATAGTAAAACCTGGTGACATGCTGTGTTACTTTAGACATTAAGATGATACCTCGGTGCTGAGTGATTGTCAAGTGCCAACCAAGAAATTGAAAGCTGACAGAGTGTACACTGACAAACTGTCACACCTGGTCTGCTGCACGGCCATTACTATGAGTTGAATGTAGTAGGTAGGCATCCTTCAGTCTCAGGAGACTATGGAGTTGCACCCTAGTTGTCAATCCTGGTACAGCGTCTGGTGTGACTGATGAGGCTAATCCGAGAGTGGCAGTCCATCACACACTGAGCACAAACGAAGTCCGATTCTGGTCTGTCTTCCTGGCTACCGGCTTTCCTTCTCTGTCTCTTTGCCTCCGATTCCTTGGCAAGTGACTCCTCGAACTTGGAGAGACCTCTTTGAACAGACTGCCTCCAGGCTGAACGGTCTGCAGCCAGTGTCTCCCATATAGCAAGATCGACGTTGAATGTAACTGCTACAATTATCAGGGCAGTGTTAGAATTATTAGAATTATTAGGATTTTACAAGTAATTTTTGAATAGTATATTTGAACGGTGATTTGAATAGTATAAGCATTGTGATGGGATCCCTGGATTTGAAGGTTCTCATAGTCCATCCATTTTTCTAGTTAATACTATATATATATTTGGTTATGCTTCCTAAATTTGAAGAAGTTCGACAGGATTATTCCCAGATCCTTTACATGTTGCCTTCCTACTCTGAGTAGATCTGATTGTGTCTTATACTTTGTATTTTATTTATGGTCTTAATTTTTTTTTTACCTAGGTATCTGGAATTTATCACTGTTAATCATGTTATTTTCCACTGCCTAATCAAAAACTTTATTAATACAGTACTGTATTGGGTTTTAATATTTCAATGTCTTCTACATAAGTAATTTTCCTGCTGATTTTTGTGCAGTGGAGAGAGAAGTAAAGCATGTCAGACTTGACCTTTTATCTCACTATCTCACTAAGCACTGCCCTGAGCAGCCAAAGAAAGACCAGGAAGATGAGTGCAACATAAATGGAGGAGCCCTGAAATGGTAGTGTGTCCTGAACATTATTCTAAATGAATTGGAAAGCTGGGTCAGAAAAAAAAAGTAGGTTAGCACCTCATCAGTGAACTTAATAAATTGCATCTGAAATTGGAGAGTTAAGAGCTCTTGACCAGCAAAAACTTAAGTGTGTCCTTGTGTCAAAAAGAAGTCTTTAAAACTGTGGCAAAGAGATGCTGCAGAGAAGAGTCTTGATACGTAATTGCTAGTTCACTACGTCTCGAGGAAGAATAGGAGCACAAAATACACTTGGGTTGGAGCTAAATTAATGAATATTTGTTTCCAACAAATGTTAGTGTATTAATGCAGTATTTTGAACCTTAAACACCTATCTTGACATGATTTCGGGGCTTTAGTGTCCCTGCGGCCCGGTCCTCGACCAGGCCTCCAACCCCAGGAAGCAGCCCGTGACAGCTGACTAATTCCCAGGCACCTATTTACTGCTAGGTAACAGGGGCATTCAGGGTGAAAGAAACTTTGCCCATTTGTTTCTGCCTCGTGTGGGAATCGAACCCGCGCCACAGAATTACGAGTCCTGCGCGTTATCCACCAGGCTACGAGGCCCCCTTCACCTATAGTGAAATGATTTTTGCATAACTTTGACATCAGTTACATGGAGTGCATGGCTAGAGTTCGGACAAGACAAAGCAGTCAGTTTTGAAGCATAGCTTGAACTGACTTTGCCTCTCAACTGGTCTCTCTCCTTTCATAGATAACCAAGCAGATAGTATGTACTTACCTAGTTGTGCTTGCAAGGGTTGAGCTTTGGCTCTTCGGTCCCGCCTTTCAACCGTCAATCTACTGGCGCACAGATTCCTGAGCTTCTCGAGCTCTATCATATCTACATTTGAAACTGTGTATGGAGTCGGCCTCCACCACATCCCTACCTAGTGCATTCCATTTACTAACTACTCTGACACTGAAAAAGTTCTTTCTAATGTCTCTGTGGCTCATTTTGGGTACTCTGCTTCCACCTGTGTCTCCTTGTGCATGTACCACCCATGTTAAATAGTCCATCCTTGTCTACCTGCCAATTCCCCTGAGAATTTTGTATGTGGTGATTATGTCTCCCCGAGCTCTTCTGTCTTCCAGCGACATGAGGTGCAGCTCACGCAGCCTTTCCTCATGTGTCAACGATATCCTTACTGAAGATAACATGTGTTATACTGGTGATACTGATATTGTGGCAGAAAATGGAGAGCAATTCTGAGGAGCAGCAGGAGGTTGTTGAGAGGGATGAAATTTCCAAAGAAAATATGGAGGTTTAAAATGCACATTGAATAAATACTAAAGCTCATGGAGTCCAGGGCTGACTTTAGTTTTCAGCAACTGATAAATTTCTTCAATTATACATGTATTTCCTGCATATATGCTGTATTATTTAAGAGAACTGCTGTATGTTAGTTTATTAATTTGTTCTTCTCTTTAGTTTCTTACCCATTGTTTGCCTTATTCATTATTTTGTGTGATATTACTCGACGTAAATAATGCTGTAATAGTTTTCTAAATGAACTTCAGAAATATTGGTCACACAGTACATACTGAGGTAGTGCATGCTCATCAGTTTGCATTTAACAGTTGAATAAATTCTGTTTTATCACTACTGTACCTTCAGTACGTCTCCCCTTATATTACTGATTTTATTGAATGGCTATTATATGCTTGTACCATTAATTCAGATGCACTTTATTCTAAATTAATTCAGTAAGTTGATTAAAGACAAAATAATCTTTAATATTTTGACTGAACTGAACTAACCTGAACTAACAAATTACATAGTACTGTACATTAATCTTTAGTTTGTTATTGTTCTAAGAAATAGAACAGTTTTATTATGTAGCTTGTAATTGTTGTAGGAATATTAGAAAGGGCTTATTGTGTAACTCATAAGTATTGTACCTTATTAGAATTAGTTTAATATCGGTGCATGTTTTTTGTATTGCAGGCACACCAGAGTTCATGGCCCCCGAGGTGTATGAGGAGCATTATGATGAGATGGTTGATGTGTATGCCTTTGGCATGTGCATGATGGAGATGGCAACGTTGGAATACCCATACAAAGAATGTTCGGGTCCAGCTCAGATTTACAAGAAGGTCACCACGGTCAGTTTATGCTCACTTTGAGTGCACGATATAACTTTTTGGTACAGTATTCACAAATAATAGAGGTATAGAAGGAATTGATCAAGGTTATATGGTAAAAGTTTAGAGCATTTAAAGGTTTTAAGAACATCATAGTGAGCATTTTTAGCATGAAGAAGAAGAAATTTACAGACCACACATTGGAGCTGAGTTTGTTGAAAGTCAGAGAATGAGTTGTCAATAAAAGAAATAAGTATAGAGGAAAATAATGATTAAACTCACTGGATTAGATACTGTATATTTCATGGTCAACAGCTGCTGTCCAGTAGAGAAATTACAGTATATTAATACAGCATATTAATACATTTATAAAATAGTAACTTGCAGAATATTAACAAAATAATTATTTTCAGGGAGTTCGGCCCCAGAGCTTTCTAAAAATCGAAGATGAAGATGTGAAATATATTGTAGACTGGTGCACACGACTCCATAATGAGGAAAGGTAATCTTTTTTTTTTTCCCTTGAAAGTAAATTACTGTAACTACTTTTTTGTTGTTGTTTTTAGCCTTTACATAGCTATGTTAATGTCTATGCTAAGTATTATTTTTTAACTGTGTGTGTCACTGACACACGGGTATGAAGTACTGTACAAAACAGCAGATGCAGTATATCTCGTTATCTTGAGATGATTTCAGGGCTTTTTAGTGTCCTCGACCAGGCCTCCACTCCCAGGAAGCAGCCCGTGACAGCTAACACCCAGATACCTATTTTACTGCTAGGTAACAGGGGCATAGGGTGAAAGAAACTCTGCCCATTGTTTCTCGCCGGCGCCTGGGATCGAACCCAGGATCACAGGATCACAAGCCCAGCGTACTGTCCGCTCGGCCGACCGGCTCAGTATGGCTTGTTGTCCATGGCCGGTGTAAACAATGCAACACTCGGGCATGATGGGTGGATCGGCAGGTGCAACAAGGTAGTCTTGCTAATTGCCAGTCAGTATGAAAAATATATTTATTTAGTTATATATTCATTTCATTATCTCGTTTGAAAATTAATATAATGAGAAATAACTAAATATAAATTTATGCTTGAGCTGATGGTGGGCACAGTGGAGTTGTTATATATAACAATATAGATTGTTATAGATAATGTTTATATATAGTGTAATTAATAACAGCAAAGACACTTGTTTTATTGTTCAAATAAAATTATATTGTGTGCATATTATGCGCTTATTGATGTTGGGAATACATCTGTGCGTACGTATTTTCTACGCAATGTGATACAAATAACATTATTTACAGCCCAGTGGATCATAGCACTTGAAAACAAAATGGTAAAAAGCATTGAAAATCTAAGTAAAATATAACATGTTATGCATGCAGTTACAACTTCATGCTAAATATGTGGGGGCTAGGCTGAACTTTGATAACTGGTTATGAGATCATTACACCCTCCACAACTCCTTAGTGGCTTGTAATGGTGCATAAAAATATAGAAAGTTATATATAACATGTGTATATATATATATAAATAATACATATATATACACAGTACAGTGTAATAACAGCACAGATTTTGTTTTATTGTTCAAAGAATGTAATATTATGTGTGTGTTAGTGACATGAATATATCTGAGAATTCTGATGTTCAATGCATTTTATTATATAAAGTTCTCAAATGGCATGATATTAAATAACATTACTGCAAAAAAATCAGAGAAAAATCAAATAAAAGACAATGAAATAAATTTGTCAAAATATCTTTGTGGCAGCTCCTACCCCTTGCCTGGCTCGGGCAACTTTCACAGGGCGATGGCTTCATGAACGTTTGTAAATTGTGATGTTAATTGTGATTTCCTCGCTTCACCACAACAAAAGTCACACAATTTTTTTTCCTGTGATCAGAAAACACACTTTCAGAATATTAGAAAGTAATTGTCGACTTTTGTTTCTTGTGCTCTGGGGCATTGCTAGCTATAGAGAGAGGGTTAAAGGTTATAAACATGGGTTAAAGCAGAGCTAAGGGGAGCCACTTCCATTTACAGCTTTAACAGTAACTATAGCAGGGCACTAGTATATCAAGAAGTATGAATGCACCAGGTACAGTGGCTATGGGAGCACCAGGTACAGTGGCTACTTACAAGCTAGATCTTGCACTCCATGACACAGGTAAATGCACACACCTCAACAAAACACATCTCTCTCCCCTACTCCCAACCACAGCACATACACAGTACAGTTCTTTCACATCCATGCCACCTCATCTCATCCCCCCTCACCCTCCCCCCCTCACCTTCCCACTCCCCCCCCCCCCACCCTTCCCCCACTCACACTCCCCCCTTCGCCTTCACCCTCCCCCCTCCCCCCTAACCCTCCCACCCCCCTAACCCTCCCACCCCCCTCCCTTCCCTCACCCTCCCCCTCACCCTACCCCCCCCTCTCCCTCACATATTCCTGCCTCTCCTCACCCTCACATATTCCCACCTTCCCCTCACCCTCACATATTCCCACCTTCCCCTCACCCTCACATATTCCCACCTTCCCCTCACCCTCACATATTCCCACCTCCCCCTCACCCTCACATATTCCCACCTTCCCCTCACCCTCACATATTCCTACCTTCCCTCACCCTCGCATATTCCCACCTTCCCCTCACCCTCACATATTCCCGCCTCCCCCTCACATATTCCCACCTCCCCCTCACATATTCCCACCTTCCCCTCACCCTCACATATTCCCACCTCCCCCTCACCCTCACATATTCCCACCTCCCCCTCACCCTCACATATTCCCACCTCCCCCTCACCCTCACATATTCCCACCTTCCCCTCACCCTCACATATTCCCACCTTCCCCTCACCCTCACATATTCCCACCTCCCCTCACCCTCACATATTCCCACCTTCCCCTCACCCTCACATATTCCTACCTTCCCCTCACCCTCGCATATTCCCACCTTCCCCTCACCCTCACATATTCCCGCCTCCCCCTCACATATTCCCACCTCCCCCTCACATATTCCCACCTTCCCCTCACCCTCACATATTCCCACCTCCCCCTCACCCTCACATATTCCCACCTCCCCCTCACCCTCACATATTCCTACCTCCCCCTCACCCTCACATATTCCCACCTTCCCCTCACCCTCACATATTCCCACCTCCCCCTCACCCTCACATATTCCCACCTCCCCCTCACCCTCACATATTCCCACCTCCCCCTCACCCTCACATATTCCCACCTTCCCCTCACCCTCACATATTCCCACCTTCCCCTCACCCTCACATATTCCCACCTTCCCCTCACCCTCACATATTCCCACCTTCCCCTCACCCTCACATATTCCCACCTCCCCCTCACCCTCACATATTCCCGACTCTCCTCACCATCACATATTCCCGCCCCCAAATTCACTTCCTTCCCCACCACCTAACACCCCAAACCACCTCACTTGATCCCACTCCTACCCACCTAACTCTACCTCACGCTTACTAGACTCTACCCAACCCTAGAGCACCTCACCCGACACCTTCACACCCATGCACCCATAACACCCGCATGCATATACATCCACCTTGTTCACACCCATCCACACACCACACTACTCAAAGTGGCTAAGATTATTCATAATACTGTGTTGTTTTGGTTGCATTATGATATCACAGTTACCTCCACTGAAGCTTATACAAGTTTTTGGTTTGTGTGCATTAGGGTTAGGGGGGGAGGGGGGATTATCTTGATTATCTTGATGATTTCGGGGCTTAGCGTCCCTGTGGCCTGGTCCTTGACCAGGCCTCTGTTTTGTTACACCCTTCCCCCAGGAAGCAGCCCGTTGCAGCTGTCTTAACTCCCAGGTACCTATTTACTGCTAGTCAACAGCGGCATCAGGGTGAAAGAATCATTTTGGCCATTTATCTCTTCCTCCACCGGGGATCGAACCCGGAACCCGGGAGTATACTTTCAGAAAATGGAAATAACATCACAACCATAGTGGATATGAATGCACTTACTCATCAATTCTCTTGAAATATATTTTAGGAAAATATATAGTATATTCTACCTTTCAGCTTTAATTCTATTATCTTTCATCAATACAGAATAATGACTGAAGGTTGTTAGTTACAAATTGGACAACTCTGTAAAAGTAGTAAGGGATATGTGGCAGAAAAGTGAGTTACTGTTTTAGGTTTGAGGCATAATAAACTCAAGCAAACAAATGTCATTCAGCACAAAGAAGGTATCAAGTTCATGTTAGTGTGAGGGCAAGAAACTGGCTGTACTGGTGGTTATGAAAGACCCAAGGCTAGATGGGATTTGATATAGTGCTTAGTTATATTGTTTAAAATATTGAGCTTCACTTTATTAGTACATTTAAATATATTTTGGTTTAGTTTGACTGAATTGATTACGGTAGATCTATTCAGATTAAAGAAATTTATTGTAGTAGCTTCATGTTGTTCTGTGATGCTCACAACTTGTTGATACATATACAATATGTTTTGAGAATGTGTGATGCATCACATAAAAACCTCAATGCACTAAAGTTATGTTGTTATGCCTCGTATTCACATTTTCTGACTTGTTCTCCAATTTTGCTGGCAGTTTTTCAAGTTAACTGTTCAATATGATATCTCTCAGAACAGGAATGTTGTTGTAATTCAACTCCCTGGGGCTGAAATATGTCCCAGGTGCGAGTTTGGTGGCAAAGGCAGAGAGCTGGGGGCTGTTGAGCCAGCTTTGTCGTGTTGTGAAGTGGCAGTGAATGTTACTCCAGTGATCGCATGTTTTATATTGAAGATATTTATAATGGAATACAGTGCAATTTGGTTGATTTATCCATGACCACTTCATATACTGTACTCGGGAAAGGTTTTACATCTTTCCACAAGGCTTTACTTTGAATTAATTCAAATATATTTGTTTTGTGAATTGCAGTAATTTGATACTGTAATTTTTAATATTGCTAATTTTGTGGTATGGCTATGGTTTTTAAATTACATGATGATGTTGAAATAAATAAGTCTTGTCAATTAAAAATCAGAAGTAGTGCACTAGGATCTTGCAACGGGAAAACCTGAAACAATAAAGCAAGAGATAGACTTGATCATGTATGAGATGAAAGACTTTGGGGGTTCCCTGGGAAGAGTGGGTAGCATGGATAATCTGTCAAACTCGGCTAGTAGTAAAGGTTCTCGGTCTTCGGCTCTTTATTCTCCAGTCGTCAAGAGAGTGCACAATGAAGGTAATTCCAGAAGAGCATTGATTTGGAAGAGAAAACCAGGAGAGGTCAAAGGAAAAAAAATGAGATGCAGTCATGAGTTGTCAGGTTGGTTGTCTTCACCACCAAGTCCTCACCTTGCCAAAAGGTTTAACAAAAAAATCAGTGTTGGCAGTACGTCACACCTTGCACGGCATACAAATTTGTGCTCTGCAACTTCAGTTCCAGTTCCATGTAAATCAGTCTGTTATATGCCTCAAGGCTGTGTTGTATGGCCACCAATGGCACAAGCTTCAACTGCCAGTGATTCTGCTGAGAAATGTGCACTTAATGTTAACACAGTTTTAAGTCGAACAGAGGTATATGCTTTGCATTGCAAGCACAATGGACGAAGTTCATTGAGGAAGTGTAGCAGAGAGGGTAATGAGTGCTCACAGTCTGCTGTATGGCCTGTAACACACCAGTATGAGCAGAGGGGACAAAAAAGCTTTAAACACAATGAAGATTTACAGTCTACTGGATGTGTACCTCGTGGACCTCAAGTATACCCTCCATCTCCACCCCGATCTGCTAGGTATTCCTCCATCAGGCCAGATCATTCAGGGCCATTATATCCATCATTGCAGAAGGTAGAAAACCAGCCTGAATTTGATGCAGTCAATAGGAACAGACCACCTCTTGTAAAGCTGCCTCCATCACCATACATAACTTATTATGCAGGTAGTACACCTGAAAGTCCTGAGTTACCTCCACCCTTTTTACACCAGCCAGTAAACTTAAATGTGTTTGTTTCTGATCATGAAAATGCACATTCTATGGGATATTCACCAATTTCATATAAAGGAAAGTATCCTTGTAGTGTAACAGAAAGTCCTGGTTTACATTATCACTCTCTTCAAGAAGCATGCAAAACACATCCTTCATATTCTTCATTTAATGATGCTACACCATCAGTTATGCAATCTACATCTATGTTTGCAGCCGCTTATCCTCAGACTAGATCACAAAGCTCAGAGGAATATTATCATACTGAAGAACCAGCTGACTCTCAAACAGCATTTAACTCCAGCAATAGAAGTGATGAACTGTTTGAACCCCAGATTGATCAGTCACAACAGTATTCAGTCATGACGACTGGTAAATCTACCAATTCTTTTTCAAATCTAACAAGTGCATCAAGACAAGAGGAAAACTTTGAGTTATCCAAGACATCGGACTATTCTTCATTCAGTCCTTCGAGCCATACACCACCAACACCTGTGATACAACCTTCATCAGGTGGCAGTGCTAGTGATGATTCTCAGAGTAATACTTCCAGTCCCCCATCCAGTTCGTGTTTATGCTCCCAGTGTATGGGTGGGAGTTTGCCTTCCAGTCCACACAAGAGTTCGAGAAAGAACTGGTCTTTACGCATGTTTCTTTTAGACCGGATGTTAGCCTCCAGTCCTTACTCAAGTCTGAACTCCACTGCTAGTTTAGGCTCAAGAGGATCTCTCGGAGATGTGTAGGATTAACTTGAAGTTTTCTGGTTTTTGTATGTATTCCTAGAATTAGATATAATTCAAAGATAATTAAATTTTCATTATTTCTTATTATAGAGATACAGTATTTTAACATTAATTTTCAATTATTTTAATGATAAGAAACTATATTTTTACTTCATTTAGGTAAATATTCATATGATTGCAGTATTTTCTCTCCATTGCAGACCAACAGTAAAAGATCTCCTGAATCATGAGTTCTTCCAAGAAGACACTGGCATTAAAGTGGACTTGGGAAACAAGGAGGAAGCTATAGCCTCGGATTTAGCAAAAGTTGTTTTAAGGTTGGCAGAAACAATTTCACTTTTTCTCTAGCAAATGAATATATATGAAATTATTGCAAATAAAATAACTGATTACTATGCAATATTTATGTGATGCCAATATTTTGTAACCACCGTGGTGATTTCTTCCTGTAACAGGTTACGGGTAATTGATGCAAAAAAAAGGAAAGATAAGCATAAAGAAAATGAGGCTATCCAATTTGATTTTGATATAGAGAATGACAACCCAGATATGATTGCAGAAGGAATGGTTAGTAGCTCAGTTACCTTTTGTATGTTTGTGCCCATCTAGTTAGTCTCTACAAGTAAGCCAGATTTAGTTTTCGAGTCCCAACTCATAGCTATTGTACCATGCATATTTATACTTTCTGACTTTTCAGTACTATTATGCTTGAAATTGTGAATGGGGGTTGTCTCCATCACCTCTGTTCATGTTCATCCCACTTATTTACTGCTCCCACTACATACAAGTTTTTTCCTTCCTTTTCCATGGCTCAAGTGTTTTCAACTTCCAAATGTGTATACCAGTGAAAAAAGAATATGCATTCAGTTACACTGAAAATTGTGACATTGATGTAGCTTAATTTCAATGTAAAGTTTAGTTCAAACACCACACGAAGCCTCTGAGCATAAACAAAGCTGTCTTTCACTGCTCTTCTCCATAAAATTGTAGACAGTACAAACTTTACACACCCAGCACTTCTTTCTAAATTAATTTCTTGTATATGCTAACATAAAGATCAACAACATATGTAGAATGTGATAATATAACTTAAAGGTGTACCATGTAAGATACCCTTGAAAATAACAAATGGGAAAATGAACCCCCACATGGCAGATAAGTAGCTAGGAGTTGAGCTTATCCATTTCATGGACGTTTTAATCAGTGAGCAGATTTACCATTTTAGCTATCATAGCATCTTTATGCTTTTAAATCAGTGCATGCTTATTACCACTAATGTTGCATAATAAATATTCTTAAATTAATTTTTAATTTAAATGCAATTATTATTATTAAGGGGGGAACAATTATAAAATGATGTATACATGCAAAGAGAAGTGGGGGGGGTTCACTTTTTGTTTTTTGTATGCATGGGAAGCATGCTGATGAGGGTGTCTTTGATCTGTAGACTCGTGCAACACAATATTGCCGATTTGCCATGGGGAAGCAGCGATAATCTTATTAGATGATTTATAGTTTGCTGTTTTACATTAGTAAAACTCACTCCTTAGCTGCTATTCTGTCTGGCAATGTCCAGAAATAAATTAAAAGATTGGTTGGAAATGCCAAATTGTGTTTTGATCATAATTGCATAGCTTGTGGTATAAGATAATCTCGTCGATAGTAAATAATTGAAAATAATAAGAGAATATTGGCATGGGTCTAGGCTAACTTGACCATGTGATAACTAAAGTTAACATATGACAACAAGTGCACTTTGAATTAAGGAAAGCGACAGTTGCCTTTTTTTTTTCTTGCATTCATCCATCAACAAATCCTCCCTATACCTCTCTGGACTGACTATGATCAAAATATGTTTAGCTTTCCAACATGACTGCATGTCTTGTGATTTTAGGGAATTTGGTCAAATTCCCAAAGTACTACTGTATATTGTATATTTATTGCACTTTCTCCTCATTACTCTACATTGGTAGTGACCTACATTTTTTACTTTTGAAAATGGCACTAGGGAACATTTCATTCTATAATGTTTTATTTTTAATGTAATTAATATAAAGTATTATACTCATTGTACATACAAATGCACTTTATAATGCTAATTATCTCTGCAGGTAAAAATGGGAATGATCCTAGAGGAGGATGAACGGTCAGTAGCCAAGATGATACAGACACAGATCCACAATCTTCAACGGGAACGTGAGGAACGGAGAAAAAAGGACCTTATGGAGAAGGAGAAGCAACAGTTAGAAGAACAGCAGCAGCAGCTGCAACAACAGCAGCTACAACAGCAGCAGCAGTTGCAGCAACAGCAGCAACAACAGCAACAGCAGCAGCAGCAACAGCAACAGCAGCAACAACAACAGCAGTTGCAACAGCAACTCCAACAACAACCATTATTGCAAACACAAACTTCAGTCCAGCAACAGCCAAGTATGCAACAGCAGGCACCACCTCAACAAGCAAGTCAGCTTGAGCAGCAGCAACAGCCACCACAGCAACAACAGCCACCACAGCAACAACAGCAACCTTCACAGCAACCTACTGTTCAGCAAGATGTTCAGCAACAACAAATAGTGGGAGAGGCAATTCCTCCAGAACAGCAAGGTATTTTTGTTTTAATATACATATTTTGTTTTCAGCTTGTGCTGAAAACACAAGCTAAAAACAGTTTTTGTTATATATAAAAATATACAGACAGATAAATGACTGCTGGAATTCAATTAAGTGCAAAGTAGTCAAAATGGGTAAGGGAGACAGGAGACCTATGCACTCTCCCATAGTCATTGATAGGTAAGAACCTGCTTGAGAAAACATCAAAACTAAACTTCACAAAAAAGTTACGGACCAATTTGACAGTGAATGCACAAAAGTATGCTCAGATGAAATATCTTACTGTTAATTGTGATTTAATTTGCATGCACATACATATGTATATTTGCTTTCTCTCACTCACTCCCATTCACTCTTTATCACACTCTCTCTCCCACTTTCACTCACTCACACACACACACACACACACACACACACACACACACACACACACACACACACACACACACACACACACACACACACACACACCTCTCTCACACACTCTCACTCACTGATTCGTTCATTCGTTAATTATACTGTACTATTCAGGATTGTGATTTTGTATATCAATGTTTTGTTCAGTTTATTAATTAATAATAATTGAATTTTAGATGGGGTACGAGAATCTGGTTACTACACATTGACCTCTGGAAGTGAAAGTCAGCAAGCTTTCACTCAGGTGGGTTTTTAAATAAACTTTACGTTATTTTAGTCAAAATAATTGTAATAACTGTCAAGATTTTCATAAATGTTTATTATGTAAATACAGTATTGGCACTTTTATGTAATGTGAATGCATGGTTATTATAAGTGGAATTTTACTGTTGAGTGATGTGAAGGAATGCGAAGATTGTTTGAAGCATGGCGTATTGTAGGAATTCACCGTGACATCATAAGTCACTGTTGCGTATTGTGTATTGTTTGTTTCAGGAAGGGCAGTTCTTTGGTGGTAACTATGGATATGTGGGCTTGCAGAGTGGTTCTTCACAATACCAACCAGTAAGTACTGGCTACCAGCAACCTCAATATCAACAAACTGTTACCACTGGAAGTACATCAGTCTCCCAGAGTTATTTGCCTACTTCAGTTTATCAGACAGTTTCACAGCAATCAACCCAACAGTCATCCCAACAGCCTACTCAACAGCCTTCACAACAACAGGTAGATCAGCAGCAACAACCACTACCACCACAGCAGCAGCAGCATCAGTCAGAATATTATAGCCATATTAACTCACAGGTTCCAGTTGGAAGTGGAACTCCAGTAATTTCATCCCAGCACCATATGGGGATGCCACAACCCCAGGTACTTTCTTCACAAGGAGTAATTATTGGTGCATCTCCCTTAGTTATGACTTCTCAGTCAGTGGCAGGTCTAAGTCATCCCTTAGTAATGCCATCTGGTCCCATGGGTGTGACCTCAATACCCTCGGTGGCAATGTCTCAACACATAAATCAGCCGGTGATGTCCCAGCTATCTGGAATAGCACCGCAGCAACCTCCTTTATCTTCTCAGCCTCTTGTGCTTCCACCTTCGCAACCGGCTGTTCTCTCATCACAATCACAGGTTCTCTCCACCCAAGCAGCTATATTACCCCCAAATTCTCAAGCAATACTTCCTCAGTCAGTAGGAAATCTACCACAAGCAGCTGTCGCATCGGAGACGTCGGGGATTGTACCTCATCTGAGAATTGCACAACAATCGGTAATATCACAGTCGGTGATAGCTTCACAACCACTACCAGTATCGCAGCCAATTCCAAGTCAGCAACCATTGGCAACAACGCTACCAGTGATAGCTTCACAACCAATAGTAGGCTCACAACCATTAATTGCTTCATCTACAGCAGCAACTTCACAGTCTATGATTGTTCCACAGCCTGTGGTTATTCCACCATCAGTTGTTCCTTCACAACCAGTGATTGTTTCACAACCAATAGTTACTTCACAGCCAATGATTGCTTCACAGCCAGGAGTTGCCCCACAATCGGTGGTATCTTCACAGCCACTTGCATCATCACAGTCAGTGATAACATCACAGTCTCAGGTAGGAGCTGGTCATGCAGATACACTAGTTCCTCCTAGTGTGAGCATGCTAAATGTTTTGGCACCACAGGGTAGCTCATCTGAGCTGTTGTCGACCCTTTTACCATCCCAGTCATCAACCATTCTCATGAAGCCATCAGGAACATCAACATCTGTTCCGGAATCTGTTTCTTCAACTGTACCAAGTAGCATTACAATATCTCAACTTCCAAAGTGTGTTTGTACAAAATGAAATCTTCAGAGAACCAGACACAATAAGAATTCCAGAGAACAACATAGAGCGGATAGAGGTGTCTAGAGATGAAGTGGAAAATATGCTAAAGGAGCTCGGGAGGAACAAAGCAGCTGGCCCAGATGGCGTTTCACCATGGGTTCTGAGAGAATGTGCATCTGAGCTCAGCATTCCACTTCACCTGATCTTTCAGGCATCCCTGTGTACAGGAATTGTAGCAGACGTGTGGAAACAGGCTAACATAGTTCCAATCTACAAAAGTGGCAGCAGGGAAGGCCCCCTCAATTATAGACCTGTATCATTGACAAGTGCAATAGTGAAAGTATTGGAAAAGCTAATCAAAACTAAATGGGTAGAACACCTGGAGAGAAATGATATAATATCAGACAGACAGTATGGTTTTCGATCAGGAAGATCCTGTGTATCGAATTTACTCAGTTTCTATGATCGGGCCACAGAGATATTACAGGAAAGAGATGGCTGGGTTGACTGCATCTATCTGGACCTAAAAAAGGCTTTCGACAGAGTTCCACATAAGAGGTTGTTCTGGAAACTGGAAAATATTGGAGGGGTGACAGGTAAGCTTCTATCATGGATGAAAAATTTTCTGACTGATAGAAAAATGAGGGCAGTAATCAGAGGCAATGTATCGGAATGGAGAAATGTCACAAGTGGAGTACCACAGGGTTCAGTTCTTGCACCAGTGATGTTTATTGTGTACATAAATGATCTACCAGTTGGTATACAGAATTATATGAACATGTTTGCTGATGATGCTAAGATAATAGGAAGGATAAGAAATTTAGATGATTGTCATGCCCTTCAAGAAGACCTGGACAAAATAAGTATATGGAGCACCACTTGGCAAATGGAATTTAATGTTAATAAATGTCATGTTATGGAATGTGGAATAGGAGAACATAGACCCCACACAACCTATATATTATGTGAGAAATCTTTAAAGAATTCTGATAAAGAAAGAGATCTAGGAGTGGTTCTAGATAAAAAACTATCACCTGAGGACCACATAAAGAATATTGTGCAAGGAGCCTATGCAATGCTTTCTAACTTCAGAATTGCATTTAAATACATGGATGGCGATATACTAAAGAAATTGTTCATGACTTTTGTTAGGCCAAAGCTAGAATATGCAGCTGTTGTGTGGTGCCCATATCTTAAGAAGCACATCAACAAACTGGAAAAGGTGCAAAGACATGCTACTAAGTGGCTCCCAGAACTGAAGGGCAAGAGCTACGAGGAGAGGTTAGAAGCATTAAATATGCCAAAACTAGAAGACAGAAGAAAAAGAGGTGATATGATCACTACGTACAAAATAGTAACAGGAATTGATAAAATCGACAGGGAAGACTTCCTGAGACCTGGAACTTCAAGAACAAGAGGTCATAGATTTAAACTAGCTAAACACAGATGCCGAAGAAATATAAGAAAATTCACCTTCGCAAATAGAGTGGTAGACGGTTGGAACAAGTTAAGTGAGAAGGTGGTGGAGGCCAAGACCGTCAGTAGTTTCAAAGCGTTATATGACAGAGTGCTGGGAAGACGGGACACCACGAGCGTAGCTCTCATCCTGTAACTACACTTAGTTAATTACACTTAGGTAATTACACACACACACACACACCACACACACACACACACCACACACACTCTCTCACACACTCTCACTCACTGATTCGTTCATTCGTTAATTATACTGTACTATTCAGGATTGTGATTTTGTATATCAATGTTTTGTTCAGTTATTAATTAATAATAATTAATTTTAGATGGGGTACGAGAATCTGGTTACTACACATTGACCTCTGGAAGTGAAAGTCAGCAAGCTTTCACTCAGGTGGGTTTTTAAATAAACCTTACGTTATTTTAGTCAAAATAATTGTAATAACTGTCAAGATTTTCATAAATGTTTATTATGTAAATACAGTATTGGCACTTTTATGTAATGTGAATGCATGGTTATTATAAGTGGAATTTTACTGTTGAGTGATGTGAAGGAATGCGAAGATTGTTTGAAGCATGGCGTATTGTAGGAATTCACCGTGACATCATAAGTCACTGTTGCGTATTGTGTATTGTTTGTTTCAGGAAGGGCAGTTCTTTGGTGGTAACTATGGATATGTGGGCTTGCAGAGTGGTTCTTCACAATACCAACCAGTAAGTACTGGCTACCAGCAACCTCAATATCAACAAACTGTTACCACTGGAAGTACATCAGTCTCCCAGAGTTATTTGCCTACTTCAGTTTATCAGACAGTTTCACAGCAATCAACCCAACAGTCATCCCAACAGCCTACTCAACAGCCTTCACAACAACAGGTAGATCAGCAGCAACAACCACTACCACCACAGCAGCAGCAGCATCAGTCAGAATATTATAGCCATATTAACTCACAGGTTCCAGTTGGAAGTGGAACTCCAGTAATTTCATCCCAGCACCATATGGGGATGCCACAACCCCAGGTACTTTCTTCACAAGGAGTAATTATTGGTGCATCTCCCTTAGTTATGACTTCTCAGTCAGTGGCAGGTCTAAGTCATCCCTTAGTAATGCCATCTGGTCCCATGGGTGTGACCTCAATACCCTCGGTGGCAATGTCTCAACACATAAATCAGCCGGTGATGTCCCAGCTATCTGGAATAGCACCGCAGCAACCTCCTTTATCTTCTCAGCCTCTTGTGCTTCCACCTTCGCAACCGGCTGTTCTCTCATCACAATCACAGGTTCTCTCCACCCAAGCAGCTATATTACCCCCAAATTCTCAAGCAATACTTCCTCAGTCAGTAGGAAATCTACCACAAGCAGCTGTCGCATCGGAGACGTCGGGGATTGTACCTCATCTGAGAATTGCACAACAATCGGTAATATCACAGTCGGTGATAGCTTCACAACCACTACCAGTATCGCAGCCAATTCCAAGTCAGCAACCATTGGCAACAACGCTACCAGTGATAGCTTCACAACCAATAGTAGGCTCACAACCATTAATTGCTTCATCTACAGCAGCAACTTCACAGTCTATGATTGTTCCACAGCCTGTGGTTATTCCACCATCAGTTGTTCCTTCACAACCAGTGATTGTTTCACAACCAATAGTTACTTCACAGCCAATGATTGCTTCACAGCCAGGAGTTGCCCCACAATCGGTGGTATCTTCACAGCCACTTGCATCATCACAGTCAGTGATAACATCACAGTCTCAGGTAGGAGCTGGTCATGCAGATACACTAGTTCCTCCTAGTGTGAGCATGCTAAATGTTTTGGCACCACAGGGTAGCTCATCTGAGCTGTTGTCAACCCTTTTACCATCCCAGTCATCAACCATTCTCATGAAGCCATCAGGAACATCAACATCTGTTCCGGAATCTGTTTCTTCAACTGTA